TTTTTTTTTTTACAAAAGCAAGGCTTCAAATATAAAATTCAACATACCTGGAAATCTACAGCTCTTTTATTTGCTAGATCAGCCTTGTTTCCTGATAAAGCTATTACAATGTTAGGACTTGCTTGCCGCTGGAGTTCTTTAACCCAGTTTTTTGCTCTTGCAAAAGATTCCTGTTAAACAAAGGAACACACATTTGGCATAAGCTCAAAAAGGGTTAGGAAGCATCTGTATGAGATTAGTCTTTGAAAGACTTTTTTAAGATGACTGTAGGAAATGTTATTTGAAACACTTTCATCTGATATTTTTACTTATAAAAAGCTTTGGCAGAAAGAGGTTATGATTGGCTATAAAAAACAATTTCACAAAATTCCGAATAACAAAAACATTATGTTCCAACCAATTTCAAGGTAAGAGGCATTTATACTTACCTCATTTGTGATATCATAGACAACTATGGCTGCTTGAGCTCCTCTGTAGTACATTGGTGCTAGGCTATGGTATCTTTCTTGACCAGCTGTATCCCATATTTCAAACTTTACTGTTGTGTCATCAAGGCACACAGTCTGGGTTAGAAAAGCAGCTGAAAAAAGAAAATATCAGTAAATTTGCCATTTTCTTCTAAAGGAAATTTGATGGACTGTGTACATAAAATTAACCGGGATGATGAGTATTTGCAAAATCTGGGCTTCCAAGCTAGATTTAGATGATTCTAAAATATATGGGAGAAAGTATATAGGTTACATAATACTAAAGCTGTTTTAGAGTAAGAACTTGAGTATTTGTAGGTTTTTGTGGGAGATCCTGGAACTAATGCTTCGCGACCAAGGGATGAATGTAACTTTTAATATCCATATTGCTAACACATTCCTTGTTCCACTGTCTTTTTTTACTGCTATACTTGTGATTTAGTTCTAATATATTACCAAATTAGTATTTTGTTTGTATTACCTTTAGAACATTATTAAAACCTTAATTTTGCTAATCATTACTTCAATGTGGGTTAAACTATTAAACAGACTTAATATATTCATTCCTACCTCTCTCTGCCCTAAGAACTTCTTGGATTTGTACTTTTTCAGCTTCACTTGTATACACAGACACAGTGGCTGGGGATACAGCTTAGAAACATGCAAGAAGCCCTGTCAATCACCAGTAAATGCCCTCCTAAATGCCACCACATAGCCAATTGCATAGAGGTTTGCTGCCTGACTGGTGCCACACCTTGTAATTCCTTTCCTCCAATAACGTTGGTACATAAGACTCCTACTGCTGTCCTATCACTGCAAACTGTCAATGTTCCCTTTCTCCATTAGTTTCAAATTTTTGACAATGAAATCATTTTTGCAGAAATAATTGTAGAAATCTGAGTTACAAAATTGTTGGCCAGGGAGATGGCTCAGTGGAATAAGTGCTTCCCTGGCAAGTGCAAGGGCCTGAGTTCATTACCCAGTTCTGCAAAAAAAAAGTTTAAAACTGTCATATCCTCCAAAAGAATTATGATCCATCTGTCTAAATTGTATCTAGTTATTTCAATTTTCTATGAACTTTAGTAATATCAAATATAAGTATGTAGCTATCTTTAATATTAGACATAACATTTATTTTTCATGGTATTTTTAGTATGTCAACTTTTTTCCATAGTATTAGCAAGTATAATTTGCAAACATAATTTGGAAAAGTCTCTAGATTTAAATGAACAATTCTATCAATTCCTACAACTACACAGTAATATCTTATATCATATTCTATTTCAATTCGAATTTCTGAGTATAGAGGTAAGCACCTGTAACCCCAGCTATTTGGGAGGCTGATGGAGAAGGACTACAAAGTTTCAGCCCAAGGGCCGGCCAAACAGCTCAGCAGATTAAAGTGCCTGCTTAGGTAGACACAGGGGCTGGGTTTGATCCCTGGCCTGCTATCCTGGCTCCGCCCTTGGGGTACCCTGAGATGGCAATTGAGACTGGGCATGGTGGTTCACACCTGGAATCCTGGCTGGGAGGCTGAAAACAGGAGAATCATTACAAGTCCCATCTACCAAGTGAGACCCTGTAGACAAGTTTCAGCCAAGCCTAGGCAACTTAGCAAGATCTCAAGGATAAAATAAAAAGGGCTGGAGATGCAGCTCAGTGATAAAGCATTGGACAAGCACCTGTTGAGAGTCTGGGTGCAACATCTCTAGTATCACAGAAAAAAAAAGTAAAACAAAAGTTAACAAAACCTTTTATCAAACCAGAAATATCTATTTTCTCAAATCTTTTAGTTGTTGAAAGAAAAAAATGTCATGAAAAACTCTCTTGTAGAAGCAAAAAACTATTTTTAAAATCATTACAATTAAGTCTTTGAGGCAGCTACTCTTTTTTCAATAAAAAAGGAATCCATCACAAAACAACTTTTCAAATGTAGGTTGATGCAAACCTGGAAGAGGTTTGGTTAGAAGTTGTGCTTATATTTGCTTTTTCTTGAGATATACTATGACTCAAAGTACACTAATCATAAAAACATTCATTTGTGCTTCTATAAGTCAACTCTAAGCTCAGAGAAATAATGTTATGTCCAATTTGCAAACCAGTTAAAAGTCATCACAAAAGACAATTTTTTTTTTACAAGTGTATGTATGAAAAGCCAAATAAAATATAGTCCAGGTAATAACAAATATACCAAAAGAAAATTAGACAATAAACAGACCCTTTCAGAAATATAAAGCTATTACACAAATAAGACTAAGTCATTCTTAATGAAATAAATTACAACAGGGCATCTGAGTCAATATACAGTCTTCATAAGCACATACGAGTCTTCTTAGAATATAGCCAAGTATCCTTTGCTTAAACCTGAAGTCAGCACTGTAGCTAATCACAAAGCTCTTGGGCCTTCTCTCTCACTCTTGGAACAAAACAAGGAAGTCTATCTTTGTAAGTTAATACTGTTTCACATTTTTATTATTATAAGTTATACATTATTGGGAAGAGACAATTGAAAGAAGCAAGACTGCCATGAACATCCAAAGGTATCAGCTAAAATAAAACAGATGAGTTTAATTTGGCGGCTTAAGTTATCATCCCTGTAATGCACAAGCTACAACCAGATGAAAACATGTTGAAAGGAGGAAATGTCCCAATCAGAACATATACTGCTGGTCCTCAATTCCACTTAGAAACTCTTCTTCACTGGATTCTAGTCAGTATCTCCTAATTCTGCTCCCAGCACTCCTCATGCACTAACATGTTTCACACTTTTTATAAACAATGCTTGATACTTTCCTTTGTTGACTGGGGAGTTCCTGGAGAAATGACTATTAGTTCTCTACATCCAGCATCGAATGTAAGTCCCACTTAGTTCACAGAGATGTTAAGAAAATACAGTTCAAAAAATGCCTATGGGGTTGGGTGTGTTGGTGTATCTCTGTAATCCCAGCATTTGGAAAACTGAGCCTACAGGATTGCTGTGAGTTCAAAGCCAGCCTGAACTACACAGCAAGGGCTCCTGTCCAAAAATGAAAGCAAGCAAGCAAGCAAGCAAGCAAGCAAGCAATTGAATGAGTAACACCATTTAAGAGATACTTTAGATAACATTTTAAGAGTTTCTGGGAACTCTCTAAATTATTACACAGACTGAGCATCCCTAACCTGAAAATCTGGCTGTTACTGTGGCACATGCCTATAATCCCCGTTGTTAAGAAGGACCATAAATACAAGGTCAGCTGGGCGTGGTAACACAAGCCTGTAATCCCAGCACAGGACAATCTGAGTTCGAGAAAATGTTCTACAAAATGAGTTCAAGGCCAGCCTAAACTGCATAGAGACCCTATCTCAAAAAGATAAATAGGTAAGTTAAGTAGGTGCCTGGGTAACACAGTGACAATCTATCTCCAAAGGGAGGGGTGCACTCTCTAAAATTCAAAAATTTAGGTATACCAACACCTACAGTAGTAAATTCTATATCATGAAACTGTTTTATACACAAAATTATTAACAATATTCTGTAAAATGGACCCGAATATTTTTGCGTAAGGGATAATCAAGCTTAAAGAACATAATCTCTGACAGAAACTCCAAGTTAAAACACACTTTTTTTTTTTTGGTGGAACCGGGGATTGAATTCAGGCCCTTGCGCTTGCCAGGGAAGCGCTTATTCCACTGAGCCATCTCCCCGCCTTCTAAAACACACATTTTTGACTTGGTAACACTGTGTTATTGTTCATACTTAAAATGTTTAATTCTGGGTAAGAGAAAAAGACCATTAGTAGAGGCCCAAGGGTATCACAACATGTCAAAATTAATGAAAGGAGCTATAGCGACTAAAGGACAGAAATATTACAGACTAGGACAGGCCAAAATAAACAACAGGTGCAGTGCATCCCAAGACTTCAGCAACTCTCCAGAGTGCTCAAGTTGTCTTCTACTATATGGGTCTAACCTCTAAAATTCAGTGCAATGTAACTGATACACTTAAGCAAAATCTTTAATTTCTAATGTGCTTCTAAATGCAATTACTAATCTTTTATAAAGTTATAAATTCTGCCACTCAAAATACAAACTACCACATCAGTACTATAGTAACATGAATCAACCACAAACTTACCTGAATCTGCAAAACCACTTTCAATTTATCCAAAACGTCTATTTTCTGGCTAAGAACCATCACTTTCTTAGACCTCTTCATTTTCTCTTCACTTCCATCACCAGCACTAGCAGTTGGTTCTCTTTTCAGGCTCATATTTCACAAAGAAACAGCTTTTATCACTTGGAGAGTTACTGTGTGTGCGACGACAAGTAGAGAAAAACAAAGCTGCGTTGAGATGCAGGTGCTGGCCTGTCTATCAGATTCCTTCTTTGAACTAAATCTTGAGCTCCTATTAGTAAGCCTGGTGGTAATCATGAAACATTGCACTCTCAGCAAAACTGCAAATTTATGTATCAGAGATCCACCTTGGGAGTCAGTTGAGAGTAGGTGAAATTATTATTGTTATTATTTATTTATTTTTTGCGGAACCGGGGATTGAACTCAGGCCCTTGTGCTTGCCAGGGAAGCGATTATTCTACTGAGCCATCTCCCGGGCCCCCTCGGTGAAAGTATTAATGTTAAATCTGCAAATACCAAAGGCTTAGAGTGTAAGACCCAAAAAAAATAACCAAGGAAGGTACACTGGATAAGGATCAAAGATTAACAGAAATAAAGAGCCAAATTAGGGGGGGTGTCAAGAAAACACTGAGGTGCTAATAATATCTCTCAACCTCAATTTGACAAGTACTGTTCCAACTAACCAAAAATCCTACATGCTACTGAATCTGATAACAAAAATTTGAGATTACAAAGTATGTGCCATACATCCAAACACATGGATAAAACCAAGAAAAATTTCCACAGTTCATGCTAAATGACTGATTTATTATTTTGGTATTCTGAGATAAGATTTTTGTATGCAGTTCAGGCCACTCTTGAAATCACTCTGTAGTGTAGACTGGCATCACATTTGTGGTGATACTCCTGCCTTGGCCTGTGATTACAGGCATGTGCCACCACACCATTTCAGAATTATTATTTTTTTTCCTTTTGGCGGAACCGGGGATTGAACTCAGG